CCCCCAAAACTCACATCCTCTCCTCCGCAGACGATGCAGGCTAAGGGGAACCCATACTTTTTGCAGGGGGTTCTGAGTCAGCTGTCCCGATGCCACCGCCGCCATGGCTCTGCCCTCTGTCCCCACTACGGTCAGTGTCCCCGGAGCTGCGGGTCACCCCCCCATTCCCCCCCCCTTATACAAACACAACCCCTCCCCTCCCTTCTATTCTTCTTCCCGCCCCCCACCTTTGTCCCATACCCGGGATTTTGGCTGATTTCTCCTCCATGGTGGAGCTGGGGGGGGTTGGCGTGGCGGTGCCCCCCCTGAGCAAGGTCAGAGGTAACGCTATACCCTGGCTGCCCGCCGGGACAGGGACAGCAGCTGGGATGAGGCGTGGGGGGGCCCTGTCTGTTCCCCACCCCCCCCCCCCCCAGCTTCCCCTCCTTCCCATCAGCAGTGCTGGCACTGCATCCCATCCATGGGGATGCTGACCCTGCCCTCATTCAGTGCATCTGGGGGTTCTAGCCCTTGTTTATTGGGGGGGTTGTGAACCCCCCTTTATTGGTGGGGGGGATTATTTCAGCCCCTCTTCTGGTCCTGGCCACCCTTTCATCCCCATCTTTGGAGGTCCTGAGCCTTATCTCTGTGGGGTCCTGATCCCCAACCTCCTGAGGGAGATCCTCGTTCTTGGGGGAGGTGACCCCAACCCTTGGGTGAGAAAGGTGGAGGAGAAGGGGGTCCCATTTTGAGGGGTGATTCCCGTTCTTGGTAAGTTCCAATCCTTGTGTGGGGAGGTGTCCCTATTTTTTTTTGGGGGGTCCCTATTTTTGGGGTGATCCTCATCCGTGAGGAGGGATTCCCATTTTTGGGGGGATCTCCATTCTTGGAAGGAGGTCCAGCTGGTTCCTGAGGGTGTCCCCATCCCTGGGGGTCCTGCACTTCCTTGTGGGATTGGGGTCTTTGTCCCCGCTGGGGGTCCCCAGATCCATTTCGGGGGCTCCTCGTCCTATCGGGGGTCGTCACCCCTATCCCCTATAGGGGGTAGGGGGTGGGGTCTCCATTCCCACGGAGTTTCCAAGTTCCCACTCCACTGCACATCCCAATAGTAGACCCTCCCACTCCTACACGGGGGTCCCGATTCCATCCCCTACAGCCGCTCGGCTCTACTCGGATTCTCTCGGCTCTATTCGGGTTCCCTTTGCTCTACTCGGCAAATCTCGGCACCATTCGGATCCTTTCGGCTCCGCCTACAGCCGCTCGGCTCCGTTCGGGTCCTCTCGGCTCCACTCGGATCCTTTCGACTCTCCAGCCACTGTTCAGCCCCTCCCACTGCCCCTCTGCTCCACCAATCACCGCTCTCGTCCTCTAGGCTCCACCCACCGCCCCTCAGTTCAACCAATCACCACTCTGGTCCTTTCGGCTCCGCCCGCCCCCGCTCAGCTCCTCCCGGCTCCGCTCGGCTATCCTCGTGTTCCCTCCCGTCTATCCCCGCCCACCGCCCTTCAGTTCCACCAATCTCTGTTCCCTTCCTCTCGGTTCCACCAATCAGCGCTCTCCTCCGCTCGGCTCCTCCCGCCACCCTTCGGCTCCTCCCGCCACCACCTCCCCCCATCACCATTGGCCCCAGCATGGCGGCCCTGCGCAGCGTCAAGGTGCCGGGGAGCTCCGGACCCCGCGATGGGGGGGGACCCGAGCTCGCTCCCCGACACCCCATTAACCCCATCCCACTTTCCAGGGAATGGTGGCCCTGGTGACCGGCGGAGCCTCAGGGCTGGGCCGGGCCACGGCGGAGCGTTTGGTGGAGCAAGGAGCCCGCGTTGTCCTCCTTGACCTGCCCAGCTCGCAGGGGGCACAGCTGGCAGCAGAGCTGGGGGAACATTGCGCCTTTGCCCCTGCTAACGTGAGCACCGGGATTGGGTGTCACACCGCTGCGGGGTCATCCACGGCAACGGGACTCAAAGCAGGGACAAGGGGACACCCCAAGATGGGGACAGGGGTGGAAATTGGGGCATGGATTTGGGGCAGCTGGGGCTCAGAGGGGAGAATTGGGGCCTGGAGGGGGGAATTGGGGGCCTGGAAGGGATCTGAGGGCGTTCTGCTCCCCATCCACACAGGTGACATCGGCCGAGGAGGTGGAGGCTGCCCTGGAATTGGCCAAGAAGACTTTTGGGAAGCTGGAGCTGGCGGTGAACTGCGCCGGGGTGGGAATCGCCGTCAAGACCTACAATGCCAAGAAGGACAAAGTGCACGAGCTGGAGGATTTCCAGCGGGTCGTGAATGTGAGTGTCTGACCGGGGTCAGCGGGGTGAGATTGTCGTGGGGTAGTCAGCAGGTTGGTCAGTGGGATGAGCTTGGTCAGGTTGTGGGGTTGTCTTAGTCAATGGGGGTGGTCATGGTTAATGATTGTAGTGGGGTGATTTTGGTCAAGGGGGGTGGTCTTTGTCTGTGGGGCTGCCTTGGGGTCGTTTTGTCAATGAGGTAGGCATAGGGTGGCCTCGGTTAATGGGGTGGGCACAGGGTTGTCTTGGTTGTTTTGTGGTCTTGGGGTGGTCTTGGGCAGTGGGTTGGTTCTGGGGTGGTCGTGAGGGGTCTCCAGTCAATGGAGTGCATGTCCTGAGGTGTCCTTGACCAGTGGGGTGCTTGTGGGGTTGGGGTCACATCCATGTCCCCGTTGCCCTTTGTCTTGCAGGTTAACCTCATTGGGACCTTCAACGTTATCCGCCTCAGCGCTCGCCTAATGAGCCAAAACACACCTGACCCCGATGGCCACCGGGGCCTGGTGGTGAACACGGCCAGCGTGGCAGCCTTTGAGGGGCAGGTGAGCTGGGCTGGAAGGGTCTTCTATGGGGGAGGGACACCGAAGGGATGAGGGGAGCCCCCCATAACGCTCCTCACCCCCCCATAGGTGGGCCAGGCTGCCTACTCAGCCTCTAAGGGCGGCATCGTGGGCATGACGCTGCCCATTGCCCGCGATCTGGCACCGCTGGGGATCCGTGTGGTCACCATCGCCCCAGGTACGGAAGGGAGAGCTTTTAGGGATGGGAAAGGATGAGGGATACGTGTTTTACACCCCCTATTTTATTATGGTTTTTTTTGCACATCACTTCCCCCCTCCCCTTTCAGGGCTTTTCTCCACCCCACTGCTGGCCGGGCTGCCCGAGAAGGTGCGGAACTTTTTGGGGCAGCAGGTTCCCTTCCCATCTCGGTTGGGGAACCCTGCCGAATACGCCCACCTGGTGCAGGCCTTGGCTGAGAACCCCATGATCAACGGGGAGGTGGTGAGGCTGGATGGGGCTCTCCGGATGCAGCCCTAAATTGGGGGGACACGGCGTGGGGATGGCCACGATGATGGGACGTGAAGCAGGGACGCCACGGGGCACGGGGACACCCCAAAATAGGGGCACCGTGGGGACATGGACCTACCCTTCTTTATGGGGAACACATGGGGAACTGAACCAGCATATCCTGTGTTGGGGACCTCAAGGGGACCTGGTCCGAGGTCACCTGGGTTTGGGGACCCAATGGGGCCCGTCCATGGCTGGGGACTGACCTTGTGGGCACACCTCTTTTGTGGACCCACCTGGACACAGTCCAGGCTCATCTGGTTTGAGGACCCCAAGGGGACCCGGTCCGAGGCCACCCAGATCTACGATGTGGTCTGGGACCACCCATGGGGACCCAGTCCAGAGACACCCGGACTTGAGGACCCCATGAGGACCTCATGGGGATCCGGCCAATCCTCCCACCCCCCCCAGGTTTGGGGACATGACCTCGTCACCCCGCGCTGCTACCTCCAGCAATAAAAGCTGTGTGCTCTGCTCGGCTCCGCCTCCTCTCGCTTCCCATTGGCTCGCGCGGCTGTCAATTCGGTGCGCCGCGAGGAGCGATTGGTTGGGAGTGCTAGTGGGCACGCCCTCTTGTGAATTCACGGCTGTGATTGGCTGCCGACTGGCGTGCTCTGGATTCGAGCGAGCTAGTGTAGCTGGACTTGATCGTTCCTGATTGGCTGAGAAAAGCAGCGATGGGGGTGGAGTCGTCTACTCATCTTGCTCGCTGGTTGGTTGATACGCCTGTCCATAAGGGGCTGGACAGATTGGTTAAACCAATGGCAACTAGCGTGTGGGTGGGGTCTCTCGGCAATTCGACCGCTGATTGGCTGTGGCGGGTTCTTCCGCCGGAAGCGGCGCCTAAGGAGGAGAGCGACGGCAAGGCCGGAGCCGGTGGAGCTCCCGGCTCCTCTGCAGCCATGAACATCCGGAATGCGCGGGTGGGCGGCCGGGAACGGGTCCGGGTATTCGGGGATGGGCTGGTAGAACCACGGGGAGGGGAATGGGGGAGAATCCGAGGCCCGAAGGGAGGAGAAATGGGG